TCTGCCTTCAAAGCTCTGACTACAACAAATGTGCTCATGAGATCTCAGCAACAGTGGGGAATATTTTACTAAACACCAGTAGCTTTCTGAACATGAAATGATTATGGGATGTTTAATCTGGCCAATATTCAGGTGTGCTCTGTTTTAAGTCAAGGCTGGACACTATCAGTCCTTAAATACTTGAGGCCCAGGACTTTTAAAGAACTTACATCTATCATATGAGCCAATCTGGCCATTGTGCTAACACTGGAGGGTTTGTATCATCTCCAGCTGTCCTTTGAAATGCAGCTGAGTCGGACATGTTACAAGGCCTTCTCAGCTGTGATGCCCAGATTTTAGAATTACTTCCCTGAGAAGGTTGAGATACACTGCAGAATTAAAGCAGAGAGCTCTATTTCCTCTTCAAATTGTCCTCATGTCTGTTTCTATAAACAGCTGCTCTGGGCCACCTTGCAGCCCTTTTCTGCTCTGCCCAGGTGACTTAACAAGGTGCCACTACCTGGAATGTACCTGCATAATTTCTGGTCTTCCAGGTGATTGGAACTCCAACTCTTAGAAACCCTAACCGGTTTGTCAGTGGTCAGGAATTCTGGGAGTACAAAACACCGGGAGGACCACAGGTTGTGCTGGCCTGACCTAGATGCATATTTGATTATGAAATCCTAGAGAATGAGATGCTTGCTCCTTTGGCAAGCCTAAACATGTGTAAGTCTACTTAACTAGGACATATCGTCCAAAGCTTCACAGATGAAAACTGGGAAATGTGTGACAACATCAGAGTGAGGTCAAGATGGTAAATGCTTGTAATGACAAAGAACACAGGATACAGGAGGCTGCAAATGTTAGTTTTTGCCTGAGTCTATAGAGAAGGGCAAGATTCCACTATTTCCCCTCCTCTTCCACCACTGAGTTCACTGGATCCAAATTGCTTGTGCATTTTGAATTCATTTTGCATGAATTGAGAAAAATTAATGGTAAAGAGAGAAAATGAGAGGAATTTTAAAAGTAGCTGAAAATGTGGGATGGCACAAGGATTTCCCCTCCAAATTAACAGCTGATGAGTTAGCTTGGAGGTAAATGACTTATTCCCACTCATTGAGATGGATCAAGAATAGGGCCCCAATGTCCTACTTGCAACCCCCCTTTCAATTTCTGAAATTTCTAATAAAAAGAATAGTGTTAAGAATAGTGTTCCATTGCAATATGGTGTGCAAAACAGTGTGTTGTTGTAAATCAGCTTATCTATGAAAATCATTTTGCAACTGCTTCTATGCCGGTAAACAATGAAGAATAAAGGCAATGACTTCTTGAACTTCTGCAATGGAACTCTGAGTCACTCATACTTCTTAATTGCTCTTTTGTTTCTAGTAGGAGAACAACATGTCTAAAATGGTAGAAGACTGGGTTTGGATGTTAGGCATGATGCCCAAGCTCCCTGCAACAAGTAGCCCACAGTCTATCTGCAGAAGAGGCCAATAATATGCCATCAGGGAAAGCCAAACTACTCAATTTGGGGCATTGAAATCAGAGCTGAGAAATCTGGAGGAAGAGGGCTGAAATACAACTCCCAGACACCCCCCTCCCCATCCTGCTTCTCTTGTGTGGAATCATGGGATGCCCTTCCTTAATTTATATTTTATGAGAGTCAAAATTACATATCCTGCAACATTTCACAGATGAAAACTGTGGAACATGCAGCTTAGTGACATCACAGTGTGGTCAAAAGTTTTTAATTAAGGGGGGGGGGTCTGTGGTAGAACCACAACACAACCCATGATTGATGGACATCAGGTCCCATGGTCCTACTTTCTTTCTTTTTTTTGTTTTGGCCTATTTTGCTTTCCCTTTCTATTGTCTATAATTATAAGATTTATAAATATAAATGAATACTTATTGTATCTCCATAAAAAAATCACTAGATTTTAGGTTGGACTTTAATTCTTTGATAAATGCCTCTTTCAATAGGAAGAGAAATAACTACATGAACACAGTCTTCTGTTAGGATCAATAAAATATAGCAACAGGGAAGAGGATATGAATCAAATAAGGAACTACATCAGTGATTATTTTCAAGTAATTAATCAAGATAAATGAGGCACAGACTACTATGTGCTGTAGCTAGCTGCACAAGTTCTGGACATCAGACTGTGGGAAGACTCATATTTTGGTGTGCATGTTTTGGCACTCCAACTGCATTTCAAAGAAAAAAAATCCCCAAATAAAAGATGTGCAGGAAGGGTGAAAGAAATCAGAGATGTAAAAGAACCTGCATAAATTGCCCCTGAATGGAAGCTGTTTTGTCACTGGTTCTTTCTCCAGCTGTTTGAATTGTTTGCACTGCTTATTGATATACAATCCTATGCATGTTTTCCAAGGAGTTCCACTAAGCTCTATTTGTTTATTTGTTTATTGGCCCAATTTTGCATCCAAAAAAAAGATGAAAAAAGGATGGTGAACAATAAAGGAGGCATCATCACTAACAAGAAAAGAAATCAGGTAAGCGTGATTTCAAAAACAGTACTAAATGATTTATGTCTGAATCCTGTTGTCTCTCCTGATTCAAGTAGGCCCATTCATTCAGAAGGATCCACCAATGTGTTGACTCACCATTCAGACATTCAGGTTGGGATTAATTGAGAGCAGGCTAGCCAAACTTGTAGGTGAATTTATATTTGTCCCCTGTAGGTATCAAACATTAGCATATCATTTAAGTTAATCTTCCCTTCTTTCTGTTGGTCATATTTTTTTTTTGCAGGGGAGGGAGGAGGCTGCTATTTATTTCTGTGTCTGTAGCAAAGGGCTGCCATCACAATTTTCTCCATGCATTGAAATAATGCATGTGGTGGGGATGATGCAGAATCAGCTGCTAGAATCCCATGGCCCTTCTTTTGACCAAGACCTGGTGGACAGTCACAATAATGAGTTCTCTGCATAACATTTGTTGTGTAGTTTGTCATTTTCTATCTCTTACATTAATTGCATTTTAAGAGAGTCACAAGTCCAGTTATGCTTTCTATCTATTTATTCCATGCTATTGTGAAAAGATTCCCTCCTCTGGACACCATGGCTCAGTTAACTATTCATCTATATGCTCCTGGCAATGTTGAGACACTGCTGGGTAGCACAGCATAAGACTTATATGGTCCATTAAAAAAGGACAACATTGTAACGACTCTTGACATCTCTGTTTTGTAATGATTATACCAAAGAGGCAGGAGGTGAAGCAGAATGGAAGCAGAAGAAATACAGGGATCCCATGAACTGCATTATGCCTTGTTTTGCCAATCTGAATTTTGAAAGGTATTCCACAGGTAAATCAAAACTTTCTTGGACTTTAACTGGTGCTACATGTATATCCAAGCATAAGTAAGTAAAACTTTATTTCTATCCCACTCTATCTCCCCATGGGGACTCAGGGCAGTTTCCAACATAAAAGGCAAACATTTAATGCTGTAAAATACAACAATAGACTAAAACAATTCAAAATAAACATAATAAATGGTGAATACTAATTCTTTTGACTATAAACCAGGAATATAAGAGTTTGTATTCACGGTGCTTTTTTTCTTTGTCACTAAGTATAATTTACATGAGCAAATAAAAGTTGACCAAGGTCCTGTATCAGAAGTTTTGTGCATCATGCTGGAATATCCCTGTAGCCACATCTCAGATGCTACTCCTCACAAACTAACTTTTTCAGGTATACAGCCATCTAATAGGCCATTTATGTCTTATTTGAGAGTGTGGGATCAGTGGGGATACATCCAACTATTTCCTTCTAACTTGACATTCTGCAACACAAACCTGCACGGCCTTTGAGGGTCCTTGGGATTTACTTATGGATGATGCTCATCTACAGGAACTAGTTGTACATCTTGCAGATCCTCCGGCTTTTGGACAACAAAGAAATATCCATACTTGGGCCTGCTTACAAGGGGGTTTGGAGTGGATTTTGGTCAGCACAGAGTTGCGATCTCCATAATGACCAAAAAGTGAATATATATGCAATACTTACATTTTGGTCATTGTGAATTATGATATTATAGTATTAACATAATTCAGAATTATGATAATATATGTCTAACAGAAATTATCATAATCCACTAATGGAATGCTAGATGTTATGTCAGAATTCTGAACCTCTTCCTATGGCATATTTTGTACTTACATTTTGTACTCAAGGAACCAACATGGCTTAGTGATTTGAACATTGGACTTCAATCCTGTATCACAGGGTTTGAATCCTTGCTAAGTCATGAAACACACTGGGTGACTTTAGGTAAGTCACTTTTCTCAGCCTCAGAAGAAGGTAATGGCAAACATTATTTTGAACAGATCTTGCCAATAAAGTTCCACCTGAATGTGCCATGGCTTGAAACAATCTGAATGCACACATCAACAATAAATGCCTGAGTACAAGACATTCTGTGGCGTCATCACAGCTTTGGAGTTTCAATCCAAAAGACGTACTGGCTGGAATTCTGTAGGGCACTTTTGAATGTGTAACCTAGAAGTATGGCATTGTGACAGTTTTAAAAAGCAACCATTTCTGATAGTTTCGTATTCACAACATCTAAGCAGTCTCTAGTTTAGGGATAAATCAGGAACATGAAAGATATAGTTTTTCTGCAAAAAGAAAATATATGACTTGTATGAGTCTGAATGATAATCTTTAAAATAGTCACAGGTTATGGTGAGAAAAATATTTTTTTCTCCTGTTTTGCACAGATAAATTACTCTAAAGAAAAACAAAGGATTTTAAGTAGCAGGAACATTTCTTAATCTATTGTTGAAGGCTTTCATGGTCAGAATCACTGGGTTGTTGTAGGTTTTTTGGGCTGTATGACCATGTTCTAGAACATAACCATACAGCCCGAAAAACCTACAACAAGCCATGTCTTAATCGACACAAAGCTAGGAAAAGTTTCCAGATTCCTGTTGGGGAGTTACAGATGTGTAACAGTGAACCCAGTTAGGACCCCACCCCAATCCCCACTTACTGGGTAGCAGCCACTGTGCTGGATGGGGATCTGTTCCCCTGTTGTTTGAGAAGCAGGTGACTGGTGGCTCCACATGCACCCTCCTCTTGCAGGAACGATATCTGGCACAAGGGGGATTATGACAGGGGTCCTGCTTCAGCCTGTTTTACCAAGAATGCTCTCTGGACTGGGTTGGAACATCAGTCAGCTGCCTCCCAATTGACAGAGGAACAGCCCCCAGGCAGCATGACCAGAGATTTTCCCAGAAGCGATGATACCACATGATGTTTTGGACTTGAATATTTATACCCAAGTACATAACACAGCATGAGAAGAAGTTTAGAATCATGACATGGCAGCTGGCAACCCATTAGTGAAAGTGAGTGACTTGTCTGAAACAGGAGGAGGTTTTGTTTTTGTTTTTCTCTCTCCATGGCCTGTGAGTATTTTAAAGGTTGTCATTCATATCCAAGCCAATTTGGTGTTTCTTAGAACTTGCTCTGTGTTTATTTGGCATTATACTGACACAATTCATATGAGAACAAAAATCCATGCGAAAAGAAGTGATAAATGCCAGCAGAATCTTTAAATACTTGTTTGCTTCCAGGAAAAAAAAATCAAATTGATTTTAGGCTTTCCATAGGCAGGGAAAAATAGATCATGCAGCTGTAATTCTATATGTGGGCATGAGTGTGTGCCTTTAAGCTATTTGTCAACTTATGGAAATTGGATACATTTCATAGGATTTTCTTAGGCACAGAAACTCGCAATTGTTTTTTTTGCCAATTCTTTCTGAAATATAGTCAGTAGAACCTGGTATTCCTCAACTCTCCTATTCTAGAACTAATCAGTGCTGATTCTGCTTAGCTTCCATGATCTTGTCCCTTTAAAGTATTTAGGTCCTTAATTCAAATGACACATTGCTAAACAATAAAATGAAAAATAGACGTAGTTAGAGTGGTCAAGTGTAGAACTGCAGAAACAACTAGGTTTAGAGAGGTGATTATCAGTATTTATGACTTGAGTGACATAGGTGACTTGTTTTTGCATCGGTTATTTTTTACTGTCTCACATCTCTCCACAAACAGCAAAGACATTCAGTGAATCATAAATCATAGAGTTCGAACTAACCCCAAATGCCTCCCTGTCCCAGCAGGAATACACAAATTACACCTAATAGATGGCCATTCGGCCTGTGTTTAAAAACCTATAAAGAAAGAGAGTCCACCACACTTCAAAACAGCATATTCTACTATCAAACAGCTCTTACCATCAGGAAGTTCTTTCCGATGATTATATGGAATAATTTTTCCTGTAGTTTGAATCCATTGCTCTGTGTCTTATTCCGTGGACCAACAGAAAACAATCCTATTCCACCTTCAGTATAATATCATTAGTTAAACATGGCTATGTCACCTCTTAAGCTTCTCTTCTTCAGGCCAAACATACCCAGCTTCCTAAGCTATTCCTCATAGGTCATGGTTTTCCAGCCCTTTTACCATTTTGGGTAAAATGAGTGCAGTACAAGGACTGTTGTATTCCCAGAAACATTTTAAAGGGCCTGAAATATTGTGTTCTGAATGCTTATCCTCCAACATTTCACAGATAAAAACAAGGATAGATGTGTCCGTGCAACATCAGAGTGCGGTTCAGCTGGCAAAAGTTATTAGTGAAAAAGAACACACCAGGCAGGAGAGGCTGCAGCACTTTGCTTTTGCCTGAGTCTATTGAAAAGGGCAAGATCCTGCCTTCTCTTCCTCTCTGCTGTGCAATATACTTTTGCATTTTGTACTTTGCTTGCAGTAACTGAAGTAAATTTATAACAAAAGGAAAAAGTGGAAGAGAGAGAGAGAAACTGGGACATTTTAAAAGCATCTAAATGGGGCAACAGCAAATTATTCAGGACTATCAGTGCCAAATACAATTGGAGAGTATGTCAATATCTTTCCTAATGTCTTTGGAGTCCTGAAAGCTGTTTCCTGACAAATTATTTGCTTTCTTGGCTGCATGTCCTCTAGTGCTTTTTTGTTAGTTCCACTTGACAGGTACACATTTTGTGATCCTTTGCTTAAATTACCAGGAGCAAAGGAAGCAAGAATATTAATTCACTATTCACACTCCAGATTTTTTTTTCAAAACACACACATAGGCTAAAGTGCTATAATGGGTCTGTATAACATATGATTCTGCTTGTGGAATTCTACTTTGTTATATCATTATTGTGTTGAATGGCAATGTATGCCATCTTGAGTTCCTACTATTGGGAGTAAGATAGGATGCTAACAACAATAACAAGAACAATAATAATACAGTATGACTAAAATACAACTGAATACATAACCAAACGTGTTTATGTATGCACAAATGTTGGAAATGACAACCTTCTTCAAGCCTTCTCTAGTAATGTTTAACTATGATTTTGTTGCTTACTATTTCTATTGTTTGCAGATTCCTTTACTCTATGCTTCCTGAGAAGTTATAAAAGGGGCTGCAGACCACATGATCACAACAGACAGACTACAGACTACTTCAGACCTCAGATCACACACTTGCTTGCTGTTTTGCTGTAAGAAATGTCCTGGTGGATGGCATAGATAATTATCTCAAACACATCTGAAACTGGATTGATAAGTTCTGTGCCTGTGTATGCTGAACACATGAAGGTTGTAAGTAAACCAAATATGTTATTTTTTATCAAAGTCTACATACTTTTTGTCTCCCTTTCCCTTTATTCCACAAGTTTTTATTTACTTTTGTTTTCCACTTGCACCAAGACAACTTGACAACTTGAAGCAAATCTCTGTCACTTCTCCAATAGAGGCCAGAACTCATTCTTATTCAGTCTCAAATGCCATGTGCACACTGCCTGGTCATGCATGTAAAAAGCTAGCATAGAGATGAACAAGATCAAGGTAACAGAGAGTGTCCTGTTTCCAATACATCCCATATATAGGTCTCTGTGATTGCTACCCTAGATTGTTTTTCTCAGAATATTGTACAAAATTGTATTAAGTGCTGTGTCTTCTGGGCTTTGGGGAGTGAACTGGAAGCACTTACTCTTTTCATTAAATTTCCTTACTGCTTGGTTTATAGAATAGATTTCTTTGGCAATGAAGCTTACATTCTCCCCAAATGCCACATAGAACAGCCCTCCAGGTTTTGGAACAAAACTCTCAGCATCTTCCATCATTAAATATCTCGACCCAAACTGTTTTGTTTTGCAGACTAATAATAATCAGAGGGATGCATGACTTCTACCTCTATCATAGGGCGTGCAGGCCAAATTCAGCTCTCATGGCCTGGGGATACAGCTATCCTATGGGTCAATGAATTCTGTCTCCCTATGAAAGTTTCTTCAGATCCCATTTTTTTAGCATTGCATAGAAGATTGTGAGGAAGCTCTTTAAAAGCATACACACTTAAAACACTTAGATTTAGAATTCTAGATCTTCTTTCTCTTGGCAATTGTGAAGTCCTAGTTTTGCCTTCTCCTCTCCTTTGCTTCAGTTCCCCCTGTTTATAGGCTTTCCCAATAATGTAGAGACTTGCCTTTTGTATTAGTTTTTGGGTGGAGCTTAAAACACCCCTCAGAGGCCAGTCTCAGTTAGTCTATTCAATTTCTCTGCTGGACTCCTCCTTCTTTCTGCAGTAAAGCCTTAGAGGCCTGGATATTGTCTGGAATCTTAGGCCTAGCAATCCAAACAGGCATTCTTAGCACCTCCTTCTTCTGCTTCATTTAGCAGTATTTTATACCATCAGTCCAAAGAACAGCAGAAGCTTTTAGCCAGCCTAAACTTCACAGGAAAGAAGATTAAGGCAGTTTATAACCATCACTTTTCATCAGAGGCAAGAGATACTTTCAAAGACCCCAGAAAGATGACTTCAACCAGCAAGATCTCCTTTCATAATGTATTGTTTTAAGTTATCTTATGATAGTCCCGGGTGGAGTTAACCCTTTATTCATCTTGTTTCAGTAAACTCATTTGCTTATCTTTTCACCTTGCCTCAAAGTGCCTCTGTCTGCTAAGGGTCTTAATCTTAACAGAAAGTATCAGATAGCCCCTAAGTAAAGCCAGACAATATAGTTTTCTCAAAGGCTCGGGAATGCCATCACAGCAATGTTTTCTGCTACTTTGCTTTAGATTCCTCAGCTATACAAGCAGTCTCCGCATTATGAACATCCGACTTATGTACAACTCATAGTAACAAATGGGCCTCTCCTCTCCCTCCCTGCCATGAAATCTTAGCACTGAGCCAAAATGTGTCTGTATGTCTCCACCCACTTTGCTTTTTCTTCCTATCAATATCTCTCCAGCACCCTTTTCCTTCCTATCACTCTCTCCAAACTTCCTTTCCTCTTATGGATATTTCTCCAGGCCCTTTTTCTCTTTCTTCCTATTGATCTCTTTCTGCCCTCCATTCCTTTTTCATCCTATTGATATCTCCCTCATCCTCCCTGTATCTCTCCATCTCTCATCTGCTTTCCTTCATGTCTGACACCACTTTTAATTGCCCTGGCTCAATGCTATGCAATGCTGGAATTTATAGTTTTGTGAAGGAGCAGCATTCTTTGGCAGAGAACACTAAAGACTTGGTAAAACTACAATTTCCAGGATCCCATAGCAATGAACCAAGGCATTTAAAGTGATGTCAAACTGCATTCATTCCACAGCATAAGTACACCCAAGGAAGCTGAGGCAGGATAAACAAGAGAGGCTCCTTAAGGGAAGGGTATCTATTTCTATGTTTTTTCTTTCCATTGCTTGGAAGCTTTGGTGTTTTTTAAAAAGAGATTCTAATCACACAATAACTATAATGGGCATCTTTTTTAGCCAAATTACAAGCAGGTTGAACTGCTGAGCTGCTGAAAGGTTGACGGTTCGAATCCGGGGAGCAGGGTGAGCTCCTGCTGTTAGCCCAGCTTCTGTCAATGTAGCAGTTCAAAAACATGCAAATGTGAGTAGATCAATAGGTATCACTTCTGCTGGAAAGTAGTGGCACTCTATGCAGTCATGCTGGCCACATGACCTTGGAGGTGTCTACGGACAATGCTGGCTCTTCAGCTTAGAAATGGAGATGCGCACCACCCCCCAGAGTCGGACATGACTAGATTTAATGTCAAAGGAAACCTTTACCTTTACTTACAAATAGTGTACTTTTTTCTGGATCTGTTCTGAATTACATATACATCCAAGAATGAACTACAAAATCTATCTTC